CACACACACACACACACACACACACACACACACACACACACACACACACACACAGAACACGGCGTTCTTTGGTGGGAGAGGAAGACAGGAAATACTTGGCTGTTTTTTTTAATCCTAGCACGCCATCCAAAATTAATCTCTAGCTTTGGTCATGATTTAAATAAACATGCTCTGTTCTTCCTTACTGTTGTTTGCAGTCTAAAAAAAAAACCGGTGTATTTTGCCTAAGGTTGGAGTCAGAATCTGAGTAACAACTAGATTGTATTTTTTTTTTAAAGGAGGAGAGGGGAGAATCAGGTATTACATATTTGTCCTTAGGTGTAACCTTAAACCTGCATGACACCAAATAACCTTTATTAAGCTAAGCTTCCTCTGGATTTTGCAATCTGGAGCCCTCCAAGTGTGTAATTGGTAAACTACCAAAATTCTGAGCCAGAATCCCTTCGGGTAAAAATCACGAGGATCGAGTCTAGCAGATCTACAGGGTGCCAGGTGGTCAAGGTGATCCTATGGGATCTGCAGAGAGCAGACCTGTGACAAAAATTAGCAAGTGTGTCACATCTGACTTTCCCCTGTTTTAGCCTTGAAACAACCGTGACTGGATCTTTCAAAATCATTTGGGATCATTCCTTCACATCCATATCTGAGAGCTTGTTTGGAACACCTAGGAAACTGAGAAAGATTCTCCTACATCTGGTCCTCTCCTTTGCTTTAACTGAGATCCATGGTTTATCTAAGACAGCCTTTCTCAACTTTAGCAACAGATCGCTGACTGGGGAATTGTGGCAGTTGAAGTCCATCTTGGCTGACTGGGGAATTCTGGGAGTTGAAATTCATTCATGCTGGCTAGAGAATTCTGGGAGTTGGCCCATCTTTCCTGACTTGGGAAATTTGGGAGTTGAAGTTTATCTTGGCTGGCTGGGGAATTCTGGGAATCGAAGTCCACATGTCTTAAAGTTGCCATGTTTGAGAAACACTGATCTAAGACCTAGGGGTACGCTCTGCACTTAGTGAACCCATGTTTTCCAACCAGCAAAACTGGGCTTGGTTTCAAATTCTGATTGGAGCAAAGGGGGCACGGTGGCCTGTCTTTACTCAGGGATGCATTTAGCCTTTGTAGAAACCCCAGATCTTAGTTAAAGCGCTGCGGGCAGTGAAGGCCAGAAACATGGTAGTGAACCTGTTCTCAAATGAGCAGAGTACCTTATTCTGTTCTCCGAAGATGTATTTATAGGATATTGAAAGAGGCAGAGAGATGTGAAAGAGACTGTGCACCAATTACAATTTCTTGCTATTTGTAACTTGCAAACCGCAGCCGAAGGTTCAGGTTTATGACAGACTGTTGTCCCCAGATGTGAAAAACACATGTATCTCTTTTATGCAACTGGTCCAATATTTGGCCCAGATTTCTTTGTTGGTGTTATTGTTGTTGCTTTGCACTATCGTATGCTTTTTTTTTTCAAAGAAAAAGATGCACAATAGCTTGTACAAAAGATTCTTTGGCTCACGGAGTATTTAACTAAAAAAAAAAAAACTACTTTCGGGTCTTTATTTGTTAAAATAATATAAATCTTTTTTAAAATATTGTTTTGTTGAAGGATCCCAGTTCCTAAATCTGCTTAGAATTTTTGTGTGTGGAAATAGCTTTTGGTTTTCTAATTTTAAACAGAATGGCAATTGATTGGGAGGGGAGGGGAGAAAAGCTTTGCAGGATGTAGATAGATTGTGTTTAACACAAGGAAAAATTAGAGCATTTGTCTTCCCTTCCTTCCTTTTGCTGTACTAGAGCTAATTTCAATGATTAATATCTTTAAAAATATGTTAATAATATTTAAAAGATGAGAGCCTGCACCATTAACCTGTCCTAGTTGGGGAGACCTTCATTTTGAATTGTAATTCTCCTCTCTTCCCACAGTTTTGTCTTCCACACATGTAGCATTTGCAACCTGGGGTTGGGAGGAGACCCAGATCCTACCAAAAACTCCAACAATCCTAAACCCACTTCTGAACGTTGGAAGAGGGGAACATTGCCTTCTCTTGCCCCTTCAGGCTGTGCCCTATGGAAACTTATTCCCCACCCCCCCAAAGAGGGCCCGATGCATCCGCTTCCCAAAACCATGGCAGGAAGAAAGCATCTCCTCCTTAACTGGTGGGAAATTGGGAAGTTCAGTCTGCAAGGAAGCCATAGGAGAGCCATCAACCTTGTTCCTCTTTCCCGGGGGGGGGGGGGGACCTAAAAGTTCCATGTTTTTAAAGCAAATATACATGATTGCTAACTGTTACATGTAATCATTTTGATGCCTTACCATGTGGAATAAATAAAGGTATGACTGAATACGTTGCTTCTTGCCTTGCCTTGAAGAACATCCTCTGTTTTCCACCTGCACCTACACTGCATAAATCAGAGATTAGTTCTTCTTAACACAATCACGATTTCCTTCCCCCAATGTCTCCAACACCATCCCAAACCGAACCACAAGACCTTGCCTTCTGTTGAGTCCAAAACAGGGGAAACATAAAGGTAAAGAGCTGTGGTGGCACAATGGTTAGAATGCAGTATTACAGGTGAACTCTGCCCACTGCCAGCAGTTCTAGTCTCACAGGCTCAAGATTAACTCTGCCATCCATCTTTCCAAAGTGGGTAAAATGAGGATCCAGATTGTTGCCAGCAAGATGGTGACGCTGTAAACTGCTTAGAGAGGGCTCTAGAGCCCTGTGAAGTGGGCATATAAGTCAAAGTGCTAAAGGTTTCCTCTGTGCAGTTATGTCTGGCTCTAAGGGCCAGTGTTAATCTCCGTTTTCTAGTTGAGGGAGGCAGCATTGTCCAAAGATGCTTCCGTGGTCTAAACACCGAGGTGCATGGAACGCTGTTACCTTCCGAGTGAAATGGTACCTATTTATCATGTCGCATTAACATTCTCAGAGACTCTTCCCATCCTGCTTACAATCTTTTTGGACTGTTGCCTTCTGGCAGAAGATACAGAGCAGTTAAAACTAGAACCACACGTCTCCTGAATAGCTTTTATCCCAAAGCTATAATTGCACTCAACAATGAACTAAAGGGCCACCATCAGTGAGCTATTGGACAGCACTGCTTGGTCTGCTGTGTGGATGTTTGGGTGGTTTAAGGGTAGGGAATTTTTTGGGTGGGTGGGGGTGTGTTTGGAGATTGTTATGTGTGTTGGGCCTGGTCTCTGGGTGTTATGTGAATTTCGCTGTATGTGTATACTGTGTATATATGTACAATGACAATAAAGTAAAGTAAAGTATTTTATTTCTTTGGAACTGCTATGTTGGCAGGAGCTGGAGCAAGAACAAGAGCTCACCCTGTCATATAGTATTTGGGTCTCAAACTGCCAACCTTTCAGTTGACAAGCCCAGCATCTTAACCTCTAGGTCACTGTGCCCCAGAGGTGGGTTCCTGCCAGTTCTAACCTCTTCTATAGAAGAGGTTCCACAAATCTACCATGCTGTTTAGAACCGGTTCCAGCTCCCTCCCCCCACCCATCTGCACCATGCTTGCCCCGTCCTCCGATCACTGATTGGCTGACTCACCAATCGCCCTGCCCCCTCTAAGAGTCCTATCTAAACCTTAAAGTCTTAAAGCTGTCAAGTTGGAACACCCCTGGGTTTTTTTTTTCTAAACGGTTAGGGATGCAAGGGTCTTGTAACTTGACAGCTATAAGACTTGCACACTTCAATGCCAGAGTTCCTGAGCCAANATAAAGTTCTGTAGTTGTGAAACCTCATGAAAGACTGTTTGCCGGGACTTTGCTGGAGAGGAATTCCCTTTAACCTAAATAAAAGAGGTTTTATCTGGACGAGGAGTCTGCTTCATGATCTTGGGAAGGCTAGGTCAGAATGCCCATAGTGTTGTTCTGTGTTCCCTGAAACAGATGCCATTTGCTGCCAAAGAAATCCAAAATAACAGCTTCTTCTTTTCTCCCCTCCCCCTTTCTCTCCTTCCAAAATTAGGTACCTCTGAACTCAGCCCATTCTCTGATCCACGGCAGTTTGACCGGTCCTTCTCTGCTCTACCAGGCCTCACCGAAACCCGGTTTCCAGACCCCAGAATGCATTATCCTGGTGCCATGCCTGCGGCCTTCCCTTACACAGCGACACCATCAGCCACAGGAATTGGCGGCCTCAGTATGACCAGCATGCCAACGGCCACTCGGTTCCACCACACCTACCTTCCCCCACCATACCCCAGCTCCACCCAAAACCAGAGTGGACCCTTCCAGACCAATCCTTCCCCTTACCACTTGTACTATGGTGCCTCCTCTGGGTCATACCAGTTCTCCATGGTGGCAGGGGGAGAGCGCTCTCCAACCCGGATGCTGCCATCTTGTCCTGCCACGGCAGGAAACAACTTGATCAATCCCAGTCTCGCCAGTCAGGCTGATGGCGTGGAAGCAGACGGTAGCCATAGTAACTCACCGACAACCATGACAACCACTGGGAGGTTGGACGAAGCTGTCTGGAGGCCATATTGAAAACGCACTGAAGGCCCAAGCCCTGTTCTTCACAAATTGGTGGTTCAAAGGAGAAAAGAACCAAAAAAGAGCTGCAACTGGCGATCCTGTCCTCTCCACCCCCAAAGTGGCCTTGGCATCCCCAATGAGATCGCTCTTGTCCAAAACCTATGATAATAAGAAATGAAACAAGCACAGGAAGGCTAGAGAGAGCATGAATTTGGATACATTTTACAACCAATCTTTATAGGCTCTCCTTGACCAATGGTCTTCGGCAGCCTTTCCCCAACTTGGGACATCCAGATGGATTGGGACTACTTGGAGTCGTTACCTGAAAACACCTTGGCAGCTGTCGGCCACGAAAGACTGTCTGTTGCGTCCAGAACAGGCAAAAGAATGGGTAGAAACTCTACTTGGTTGTAGCAAAATGGCCAAACACAAAAAGCTCTGGATCAGCCTTTCCAACCTGGTGTCTCCCACAGATAATACCTTCCAGTATCCCCAGCCAGCTTGGAGATTATGGGAAGTGTAATCCAAGCACATCCAGAGAGCACCTGGTTAGAGAAGGTTATCCTTAGCAATCATCTCAAAGGCCAAGCAGTGTTTCAAATGAATGGATGGGTGGATGGATGGACACATGATGGATCAAAGGGTCTCAATTAATGGAGCTGATGGCAGAGGTCTATGAATCCAGGTCAGGCTGGAGTTAGGATCAGAATGTTTCCCCATTTTGCACTGCACACACTTTCTCCTCTCTAAGAGGACATAAGAGCAAAAAGATCAGGGCAGGAGACAAAGGTTTGGTGACAGAATGGGAATCCAACGGATCCTATCCATAGAACATGTGAAAAGATTCTGCTATTTCAGTCCCATGAAAAAAAAATATACAACTGTGATTTCCTTCCCTGGGATTCACTTGGGTCAGAATTCTCTTTCTGAATTTCAGCTGAAGCATTTGGGATGTCCCACTTTTTCCCATTAAGAGGTTGAGGTGGCTTTTTAAACCCTCATTCTGATATCCCCAGGTAAAGATGGCCAGGTGAGGTCATCAGTGGTGGGTTGCAGGTGGTACGCCCCGATACAGGCGTACATGTGCCTGCCCGGAGCACCGGGCACCATTCTGGTATGGTGCTCCGGAGGGTCCACCCCCCCACACACCTGTGCTCCTTACCTGTCTTTAAACTCTTCGGAGCTTCCGCGCACAGCATGTACAGCGCCTGCGCGATGCTCTGCTGAGCAGCTGGAGTGTTGCAGAGGCTTGCAAAGGCATCATTGAAGGGTAAGATAATGGCCATCCGTCCCAGAGACAGAGAGTGGATCCATTCAGTGGTCATATTCAGCCGGTTCAGACTGGTTTGGGTGACCTGGTAGTGGCGACCTGGTGCTATGCGATCCTATTTAGCTACCTTTTCCAAGCCGCGCACATGTAAAGTGCATGCACGGAAGGCATGTATGCAAGTGAAGCGAGCATGCACGCACATGCACTGACATTTTTGGTGTAGGGTGAACCAGTGGTAAAATTATGTGAAACCCACCTCTGGATCCATTCTTTCCTTCTCTTTCTAGCTACTTATGGATTTGTAACCCATTGATAGCTATTTCTCCAACCACAGCCATAAATCCGCCTTCTTGCTGAGAAAGTAAATCTCATCCAGCTGAGATAAGTATTGGGAGGACTCCAAATGTCAGCCTCTTCCACGAAAGACCTTGGTAGCGAAGATCTGCCCAAAAGCTGCTCTTAAGGAGGAAAAAACAAATCTTCTACTCACTCAGTCGTGGGTTCACACAGCCCAACTTTAAGAGATAACTTACAAACCCTAGGAGCTTCCAATGGCACAGTCTCACAGACATTCAGGAAACCTTGTGCGACCAAAGGAAAAGGTAACACTTGGTAACCTTGCTTAGATGCTCTTACTCATCCCAGGCGAAATGCCGCTTTTGGCCTTCTGCTGACATTCGCACACTGCAACTCAGATCCAAATCTAGTCCTTTCATGAATTAGACCATTGTTTGACCAGGTAGTTATCTAAAGACCCCAAGTTCAGCATCTTGCCCAGAGACTAAGCCAGGCACAGCATTTTCTGCAGAAGGCTATTCTTGGCACCCCGGCTATATGAGTTGTGTGAATATTTGGCTCGTTCCAGTGGTGAGATTCAGCCAGTTCGCACCTATTCGGGAGAACCGGTTGTTGGAAGAAATCTCCTTTTGTTTTCCCCCACTTTCCAGGGCTAATCCTGTAAGGAAGGCAGGAAGGAAACATTCTGGTGTTGTTTCTAGCCTAATCTTTGTAGCCCTGCTTATAGAAACTGCCTCTCCGGTTAACCCTTATTGCATTGTAACAAGTTAAGGCCCATCGACGTGAGTGACATGGAGTTGGCCATGCCCACCCAGTCACATGACCACTGAGCCACGGCTACCCAGCTAGTCATTAGGGCAGAGAACCGGTTGTTAAATTATTTGAACCCCACCACTGGCTCGTTCTCTTTTTAAAAGAGGCATCTAGTTATAGATCCTTAAAGGGCGTTCATAGAGCTTTTGCTACTGTTTAGCCAGTGCAATGTCTATAATTCATCCCATCACCACATCTTACACAGCTCAAAAAGGAAATATCGCTTACACACACACACACACACACACACACACACACACACACACACACACACAGAGCACGGCGTTCTTTGGTGGGAGAGGAAGACAGGANTTCCTTCCATTGCTTCTTGTCCTGCCCTCAGGTGCTTTGCAGAATAGCTTGAAACCCTCTTCTTTGTGGCAACCCGTGAGATATTAGAACACTGCTATCATGTCTCCCCTAGTCCTTCTTTTCACTAAAATAGACATAGCCAATTCCAGGAATTGTTCTTTATATGTTTTATCATCCACTCTCCTAATCATCTTTGCTGCTCTTCTCTGCACTCTTTTTATAATCTCAACATCTTTTTTACATCATGGCCACTAAAACTGAATGCAGTATTCCAAGTATCGTTTTACCAAGGCATTATAAATTGGTATTAACACTTCACATTATCTTGATTCTATCCTTCTGTTAATGCAGCCTAGAACTGTGTTGGCTTTTTGGGTAGCTGTATAGTAAATAAGCAAGAACAGCAAATTAGTCATATATCCTAAATGTGTTTGGATTACATTTCCAATATGGAAAGTGGAGATGATGAGAGTTGTAATTAATATAATGGGAGTTGAGAATTAAGGAATACTGAGAAATTTTCTTTGTGTTATGCCTCATTCTGTCTTACAGATGGATCAAAGCTCATGTAATCTTTAATAAAACTGTGGAAAAATGTTTATTAAATGTTTATTTTATGTTTTGTTTTGTGCTTCTTTAGAGCATACTGTACATGCTTTTGAACTGTCCTTGGGAACCTGCAATAGTTTAAGAATATTATGATCATCATTAGATTCAGTGTAGAACATGTTGGGCAGCAAGTGTTTTCCAGTGGTTTTGATCACTCGCAGTATCTCTGGCATTGTCCCAAGAAACATTAGTAATCTTAGAATCTTCCTTACGTGTTTGGTGCTAAGTTTTCTGAGGCTAGCCTCATTTTCTCTTTCCTGCAGATGGTATCCAACATAGCACAATTTTTGCATGCAGATCTTTAAGCATATGTAAGATATGTCCAACAAGTTGCATTCAATGTTCACACACATTTCTCAATATGTGTTCTAAATCTGATCTTGGTAGTACCTCTTCTTTGGTGATGTGATCAAAATATGATAAGTGGAGTATGCGGTACAAGAAGGAGGATGGCAGAAAAACTTTCCTTGGTCTCTAATGCAAAAGCTAGGGTAAAAATGGATAAAAATGAGATTAATGACAAAGTGGCAAGACAAAAGTCATGGCTTAGCGAAAAGACTGATGCTCATCTGATGTTTGTCAAAAAATGAGTTGAACTACCCTTCAGATTTCTGAGAAGCAGTTAAATCAGAAGTAGAAACTTTTTTTACTATATGTCTGTTTTTTGTAGTAGAAACCAAGCCCTGCATTCCCTTATAACAACCTCATGCCAATGATAGTGTCATGGTTTGGGAATGCATTGCTGCCTAAGGACCTGTGGAACTTGATATAATTGAAGGAAGCATGAATTCTTTGCATCAAATAATTCTACAGAAGAATATTACATCATCTCAACTGTAACTAAAACACAAGTGGACAATACTACAAGACAAAGTTCCCAAACATACGTACAAATCTACAAGATAATGGATAAAGAAGAAAAAACACTGTTTTTGAATGGAGTAATCTAAATCCAGATATGGAAGTTGCTATAAAATATTATGGAATAGAAACTGTACCAATTAAGGAGGAAAAGTACAATCCCTAATATTGATGGATGTCTATAGATTGAGAAAACCAGCTCAAGGAAGCTGCCGTAGTCTTTCCTTGCTTTTGTGCAGAAAACAGAGGTGGTGATAGTCTAAGGTAGCGTCATGATGCCCCTTATATGGATACATTCATAGAGTCTCAGCATCTAGGCTTGTGATAGAATCTCAGCGTCTAGGCCCGTGATGGCGAACCTATGGCACGTGGGCCATCGGTGGCACGGAGAGCCCTCTCAGGTCCACCGTGCATGTGTGCACACCTCCCACGGCCAGCTGATTTTTGGGTCTCTGCTGTGCATGTTTAGGGGCAGTGTGCATGCAGAAGACACGCGCACACATGCGCAGGACGATAGCACCCCCCATGGCCTGGTTTTACACTCAGGAGGCTGCAAGGAGGCCTACTAGCCCCAAAACAGGGCACAGTGGGGGTCACATGTGCATGCACATGTGTGTGTGTGTGTGTGTAGGGAGGTGGTATGCATACATTGCATTATGGGTGGAGGCACACTCGCACGCTGTTGGCATGTGATGACAAAAAAGTTAGCCAACTCTTACTGTGAGGATCAGCCAATGGCAGACAGATTACAGTATGCAGTCAGGTATCCCTGAGAAGTCCTACATTTCTAAGAAACTTGTGATGAATAGGAGGATTCTGAAGTGAATGCCTGATAGAGAAATACAATGGCAATAACATCACATAGTTTTACTTATGAGATGTTGTTGGATAATGATCTGAACACGTATCAGAAGAAGGGAGCCAGCCAGAGTAAGTTATTTCAGAGAAATAGGCAGTGTCATTACTGCAGTCTATAGGCAGGACATGATTCCAGGTGCCCAGCGTAGGTTCTATTACTAATTCTAAGTAATATTACTAATTCTATAAAAGCTAAAGTGGAACAGAATGTAAACTGATTGGTTGCACATTACTTAGAACATAAACTTGACTGGAACTCAGGGGTGGGTTCCTGCCAGTTCTAACCTCTTCTATAAAAGAGGTTCCACAAATCTACAGTACCATTTACAACCAGTTCCAGCTCCCTCCCCCCGCCCATCTGCACATCATCAAGATGAAGAGCGAGAGGAGGAATTCTGGGAGTTGAAGTCCACAAGTCTTAAANAGAGAGAGAGAGAGAGAGAGAGAGAGAGAGAGAGATAATGAGAACAGTATTGGAACAAGCAGGAACATTTTTGTGAATCTTTCTTGAAATCTTTTAGAAAAAATACTTTAAAGAGGAAAGAAATGGGGTTATTTCTATCCATTGAATTACTTCAACATTGTTTGCAGCAGTAAGATTCTTTCTTGAGTTTATAGCAGTCGGTAGCTTCCTACAATGGGGAAAGGTGAAGAATACTAATCTCTTTTAAGCTTCTTGAATCTGTACAATGGCTGAATGCTCAAAAGGCCAGGTTCCTACTCAGAATACTAACAAATCACAAAATGGTTGGTCACAAAGTTAAAACTGGGTTTTGTAATTCATTAAAATACTAAAAGGCAACACTTACTATAAACAATATTTTTGATATTAAATATTGAAATAAACATGTTGTAATTAAACAGCAAGGTCTGGATGCTGTAGCAGTCACTGAGGTAGAACATTTTCCATAGAAACATCATCTTCTAATCTTCAGTAAGTCACTATCACTAACATGGCCTTAAATAGCAGCTACATTTCTGTTTAGAATCAACTTTCAAACATTGGCTCATAATATTCTGTTTTGACAGTGTTCACAGAATTGAACATTCTGTGATCTTTTTGCTGCGTTAAAAGTGTCAATGTTTA